GGAAGGAGCGAAGGAGGGAGGGAGGGAGGGAGAGATAATGGGAGGGAGAAAGGGAGAGTAGGGGAAAAGGCGGGGAGGACGGAAGGATGCATGCATGTGTGGCTTGTCTTGGTGAAGAAGAAGAAATCAGGATGGCTTCTTTGTGGAGTGATGATGCGTTTTCCATGGAAAAAGAAGAGAGGGAGTGAGGGAGGGAGGGAGGGAGGGAGGGCCTAAGAGGACATTCCTCTCTTTTTTGACAGGCAAAGGAAAAGAGAAGGAAAGACAAACCCGCTCCTCGGTGACAATAGGGTGATGATCCACATCTTCTTTTTTCCATGCCAACAGCTTGGCGCGCTTCTCTCATCTATTTGTTCATCTCAGAGCTCCATCCAGGTACACACTATTTGTGTCACTGGAGACTTGCTTGATTCACCGACTCCTCCTTTTTTGGTTTTCTTTTGTTTTTTTTGAAAAGACTGTGTAACGGCATTTATCAGGAGTGGAAAACTGAGGCCGGAGATAGAATATTCTAATTCACTCACTCAATTATTGCGTTGGCTGCCTTTTTGAATAGAGTCAGGCTGCGCTCAGCCTGACGAGCTGCTGCAACTAGACGGTGACACGTGTCTGCAGGAGGATGTCAGATCTGCGGCTCATGCTGCAGATCTGACCTGCTCATGCTGACACGTGTTAGTAGCGATCCACCGACTGGGCCCCGACTGGGCCCCGACTGGGCCCCGACTGGGTCCCGACTGGGTCGAGCTGCTCATGCTGCTACTGTTTGTTAGTGGCGGTCTGTGATTTGTGATTTCATTATGTTGTCCGCATTTGACACGTGGCTGGATGAGATAGCACACTAGGATGGCAGTGCATGGATTGATGACGTGGAAAAGCAGCTGATGATGACAATTTATTCACTATTGAGCACCATATTAAACGCAGCATTCACGAACTGGGTAGCTCTCCCAAAGTACCCATGTAACGGGATTGTGCTTCGGCTTCAACCGGGGCTGAGCAGGGGAGCAGGGGTCCTTGCTTAGTCCGGGTGCCTGCAACCGCTGTCTGGTCAGGTCACCCCGCCAGGTCCCCTTGCCAAGATGGTGATCGGTGGTGGTCCGGGGTGGTGAACACTTGGGTAGGACAGGGGTAATCGGAGTGCACCAGGGCAATTGATGAGAGGAAGGGTGGGTGGGGTCGTCTGAGGGGTCCATCTGGATAACCGAATGCCCGATTTCCGAGGGTGACTGTCATACGTCTAGTATCCAACCTCTACAACAACCTAGACTTTATGAAAAAAGAAAAAAGAAAAAAGGATTGAACAGAAAGAGTAATCTGCGGATAGCCCAGGGAAAAAGCTGATCACCGTTTTTTTCTGACTTGAAAAGCTTAACTGACTGTTGTTCCTGCAGTAGCTGTGGAGTCGGCATCTTCCTTCTCTTAGCATGGTCTCCGAGTACTGTTGAAAGCACAGTTAACTCACAGTTAACGACAGGTAATCACAGTGCACCACAGTTAAACACAGTTAACCACACTTAATCACAGTTAATCACAGTGTAAACAAAGTCAATCAAAGTTAACCACAGTTTGAACAAAGTTAATCACAGTGAATGGACATGGTGCAATCACTGTTAATCACAGTTTATCACAGTTTATCACAGTTTATCACAGTTTATCACAGTTTATCACAGTTTATCACAGTTTATCACAGTCAAACACATTTGAACACGTTGAAACACAGTTAAACACTTCAACAGAGTCTCATAGTGTAACACATGAACACAGCACAGTTGAACACAGTTAAAAAAAAACGCAGTTCGACAATTAAGCACAGGTTAACAAATGAACACAGTTTAACAAATAAACACAGTTAAAAAAACACAGTTTAACAAAGAAACACAGTTTAGCAAAGAAACGCAGTTTAACAAAGAAACACAGCTGAACACTAGTAAAAAAAACAGTTATAAACACAGTGAAATGGACAGTTATAAAAGCAGTCATAAACGCAGTCTTAAACGAAGTCATAAACACAGTCATGAATGCAGTCCTAAACCCAGTCACAAGCATAGTCATAAACGTGCAGTGCAGTTAAACACAGCTGTCCACAAAGTCAAACACAAGTGATAAACACAGTTAAAAACACGCAATTAAACGCACAGTTCAACACAATCCTGAAACCACAGCATTACATTTAGTTAACCATGTGGAATGCAGCTCAATGGTTTGGTTTCCAATCCACTTTCCACAGGGATCGTTGAGTGGAGGGAGCCAGGGGAGCAGAGGTGCACCCGTCTGGCCAGCTTGCTGCTTGCACTACAGAACTTGTCCTAGAGGCTATAAATAGAATGTTCTAGAAGAGGTGAACTGCACAGCCCTCAAGAATCATGGTGGGATACTTGCCTCAGGACTTCTACTTTCGTGAGGCCAAGCGGTTGGGATATGTAGCGCGCTCTGCATTCAAATTGCTGGAGATTCAACAGAAACACAAGGTAGTGCCACGTGGCGGTGCTGTATTGGACCTGGGTTGTTGCCCCGGTGCTTGGCTACAGGTGTCGTGCCAAGCGTTGAGTTCAGCCAAGTACGGCGGGCGAGTTCTCGGGGTTGACTTGCAAGCCGTGGCCAAACGATTGCCATTCTGTGACGACCGTGTGCAGACGATCCGCGCAGATGCGTTTGACATCACAGCAGCACACCTCCTGCGCATCTCGCCGAACGGATTCAACGCTGTGCTTTCGGATATGTGCCCCTCCACATCAGGAGCTTCTTCTGCAGACGTGGCAAGGTCTCTAAGGCTTGCTGCGATTGCCTTTCAGCTTGCAGTAGGATCGCAGAAGGGCTTACCCATTGACGGCGACAAAGTTGGAGCGCGACCTGGAGGAGGAGGCAATGCTGCAGACACAACCAGTGTTGGATTAAATGACAGGGATGTATTTAGTAACAAGGCTATTAGATTTAATAACAGGGGTGGATTTGACAAGAGGGGTGGGTTTGATGACAGGGCTGGATTTGATTACAGGGGTGGATCTGATAAGAGGGCTGGGTGTGATGACAGGGGAAGCTCGGCGGATACAGCAAAGGGCTCCTGCAGGGAATTTGACTCTGAGGTGCTGGAGGGAGAATTTCATGATGATGAATGCAGTAGTGATAGGGGGGTGCTGGTACGAAAAGGGCACATGGTCATAAAGCTTCTTGAAGGATCTGGCACGCGAGAGTTTGGAAGACTGTGTCGAGGGGTTTTCGATTCGATCACATGGGTGGGACCGGCAGCTACACGCTCAGCCTCCAGGGAGGTTTACTTAGTAGCCAAAGGGCGGAAGTGAGTAACAGCTAGTAAACAGCAATAAACAGCAAGAAACGGCAAGAAACGGCAAGAAATGGCAAGTATCGGGAAGTCACGGGAAGTCACGGCAAGTCACGACAAGCAGTGGCAAGTAACGACATGCATTTTCTGTTGACTTCCCGATGGTGGCTCTGTCGTAATCGTGTTTACGACCTGTTGTGACTTGTCTGTGTTTTCCGTCCTTTACTTTGAGGGGAGGGAAGCGGTTGGAGTATAGGGGGTGGTATAGGAGGTGTATAGGGGGGTATAGGGGTGATGTAGGGGGTATGGGGGGGGGGTAAGGGGGGGGTTGGGGGGTGTTGGGGGGGTGTATGGGGGTATTGGGGGCCGCTATGGGGTTGTTGGTGGTGTTATTAGGGGTTCTGGACCCCAATTTAATTTTATTTATTTATTTATTTTGCGGGGTGCCGATGACCCCCGACCGGTAGGTGCCGACCAGCCGATCGGTCGGCGGGTTGGCAGCCGACCAGTCAAGGGCCACCAACCGTCGGGGGATGCAACCCTGTTTGGATGCAAAAAAAAGCCGAAGTTGTCCTGTTTGGGAAGAGAGTGTAGCTAGAACCTCCTAATTTGCCTGCATCTCCCGCTTGCCTCTGGCCAGGCTGTTGTATTACCCTATTTTTCGGTAAAACTAAGCTATATTCTTCTCTCCATGAAAACCCTTACACTACCTACCTACATGTCTAAGGAGCTGCCTCTATGTCTAATGTCCACAAGAGAGTCCAACCGATATCTATACCAACCCCCAGCTATGGATGGATGGCAGGGGCAAGGGCCTCCGAGAGAACCCAGGACCCTACCAAGACCAACCAAGGGGGGCAAGGCAACTATGTCAGCTGATGAACATCAAGCACGCTGCAGGCGGCTGTGGGGGATTGAACCTACGACCTCCTGAATGCCACTTATATGTCGTGTCACTCTCTATTGCTTCGCCTTACCTGCTTCCCAGCACTCTGCTGCACCGTCAAGGGTGAAACAGACACAGCTTTTCAATCCCCTTTCTTTGCACCCGACTTAACATGGCCACTGGTTCGACACCGCCTCTTTGTAAGTAGCTGAGAAGTATAAGCAAGCTTGTGTCTACGATTCACCTAGCAACATATGATTCCTTTTTGAATTCATTTTGAAATTTGAATTCATTTGCAATTTTGGAATTTGCTGGCTTATTTTTTAAGTTATTTTCAGAATAAGAAAAAAAAAGAGGCATGGGATCGACTCCTTGCTGTCCATTGGATGTCATCACAGCCTTTGTACTTCGCTTTTGAATGGTAATAATAGAAGAAGAATTAGGTCTGTGTTTGGACTTTTAACCATCGTTGCAACTTGCAAAGCGTAGTTCACTTTCTGTGGACGGGTCCGACTCATCAGTTGTATATTGGAGCCGGTGCAAACGTGCACCCATCCCTGATTTCTGGACTCTTTTACCGCCAGCCAACACCCCTGGTCCTCCAAACTTGCCTGGTTCTCTTCCAATGACCTACTGTTGTACACTGAGGTCACCGGTTAACTGTGGTTAACTGTGATCAACTGTGGTTAACTGTGGTCAACTGTGGTTAACTGTGGTCAACTGTGGTCAACTGTGGTTAACTGTGGTCAACTGTGGTTGACTGTGGTCAACTGTGGTTAACTGNGTGGTTAACTGTGGTCAACTGTGGTCAACTGTGGTTAACTGTGGTCAACTGTGGTTGACTGTGGTCAACTGTGGTTAACTGTGGTCAACTGTGGTTAATTGTGGTCACTGGCGAACAACAGCAGTGCTTACATGCAAGAAAAGGCTTGCTAGGGCCCCAATGCGCTGGTGGTTCAGGTAACCAAGGTTCACAGTGGGTTCTGGGTTCCTGCCAGTATTCACGCCAACTAAAATAGGCCCAACCTCATCGTGCGTTGGCAAATCAGGCTCGGGGGGGTGCACAGCAGGGAAGAGCAAGTTAACGGAGGTCTAAATTTTTTCAGACAATTTGTGACGCCATTTATAACAAAACCAACCAAAACAAAAACAGGCAAAATAAAATAAATAAAATTTGACCCCGAAATCCTAATTTCAGTTCTGGACACATTAACCAAGGAGCTGAAAGTGGGGGTCCCCGTTAACCACTTGTGCAGCAGGGTCGACAGATCAGGCGCAGGTAAGCAGCAGGGTTGGCGAATCAGGCTCGGCTGCACGGCAGGCTTGACAAATCAGGCTCGGGTGCACAGAAGGGTTGAAAATTCAGGCTTGGGCGCACAGGAGGGTCGGCAAAATAGCCTCAGACACATAGCATGGCTCGCAAAATAGGCCCGGGTGCATAGCAGGGTTATCACGCACATAGGTTCAGCCGCATAGCAGGCTTCACAAAGTAGGCTTGAGAACGGTAGGGTAACGGTTTAAAACATGCAAGGGTGTCAAACAGATGTCCTTGCTGAGATCTTCAACCTGATTGCTGAATGCCTAGACATGCTGGCTGCAAAGTACAGGTAAAGTGGAGTTCGTGCTTCTATACTCCCCACAAATTCTTCCCTTAGCTCTCTCCAGTACCAACTCCATTTCCTCCCTCTGCCGAAGATGATAGGATGAGTCAACCGTTGACCTTTTGCCGCTCAGGATGCAAGTCTATCGAAGCTGCCATAATCTGCAAAGCAGAGGAAGTTCAGACTTTAACCAGCAGGTATAGTCTGAACTTCCTTCTTCCCAGTATAGTCTGAACTTTCTTCTTCCGAGTATAGTCTGAACGTCCTTCTTCCCAGTATAGTCTGAACTTCCTTCTACCCAGTATAGACTGAACGTCCTTCTTCGCAGTATAGTCGCAATGTCCTTCTTCCCAGTATAGTCTGTTTTTCCGCCGTCCCAGTAAAGTGCGAATGTCCTTCTTTCCAGTATAATAGGCTGAACTTCCTTCTTTTCAGGATAGGCTGAAATTCCTTCTTCCCAGTGTAGTCTGAACTTCCTTCTTCCCAGTAGTGAGTGCACTTCCTCTGTTCTGCGAACTCGGAAGTGGCTCCGAACAACAGGCGCCCTTGACGGCACTGTTCCTTGCAAATGTGCCCAGTGGAGATGGATTACCATTTTACATGCCTTGTTACCCTTTCCATCACTTAATGGCCTTCGATCAAAGGGCCAAATCACAGAGAGTGGCTCCCGTTTTCTGATGTTGAAATCAGACCCACAACTCAACCTCAATCACCAAAGAGCCAGAATCGGACCCAAAATGAAGTAGAACCAAACCCAGAACCGAGTTGGTATGGAGCCAGAACCAAGGCAGAACCGAGCCAGAACTAAGCCGGGATGGAGCCAGAACAAATCCAGAACCGGCCAAAACCAAGCCCCAACCAAGCCCCAACCAAGCCTCAACGAAACCACAACCAAGCCACAACCAAACCTCAACCGAGCCACAACCAAGCCACAACCAAGCCACAACCAAGCCACAGCCAAGCCACAACCAAGCCACAACCAAGCCACAACCAAGCTACAACCGGCCCACAACCGACCCACAACTGACCCACAACCGACCCACAACCAAGCCACAACTAAGCCACAACCAAGCCACAACCAAGCCACAGCAAAGCCAGAACTGAGCCACAACCGAGCCACAACCGAGCCACAACCGAGCCACAACCGAGCCACAACCGAGCCACAACCGAGCCACAACCGAGCCACAAC